AAAAAAAAAAAAAAAAAAAAAAAATCCATTTTGCCAATGATTGCCTTTTCATTGGAATATTTAACCTATCTATATTTACTATGATTATGAATATATTTACTATGATTACATACTATTTTTTAAAATTAGTTTTATTTTATTTCTGATATACAATGATCATATTCATCACAGGGCATTGGTACCCATATACATACTGTTTTGATTACATTTATTTGACCTATTAGATTGGCCAAAACTACAGGGCCAGAAAAGATATAAGGGGTTTTCAGGGATTCTTAGGCACTAACAACCTATAAAGGGGCATTAAAAATCCTTTAAAGAAATCTTGACTGTTGAATCAGTTTTATGACTATGTATTTATCACAACTCACCAAACCACACACCTATTAAGTATGAGTTTTATTTTCTATAAATGAGAAATCAACAAAGATGACTGGGATGGGGGGAGTTTGAGTAATTTGTACAATACAGCTTTGGTTTAAAACAACAACAACAACAACAATGTGGTGGTGCCCATCTATAATCCCAGTATTTAGGAGGGTGAGGCAGGAGGATCTCTGTGAGTTCAAAGCCAGCCTGCGCTATACATCAAGATCCTGTCTCAAAAACAAAACAAAGAACATAACACCCAAGGGGTGTGTGTGTGTGTGTGTGTGTGTGTGTGTGTGTGTGTGTGTGTGTGTGTGTGTTTATTTGTAATGCTGGCATGGACAGTAAGGGAAGATATACCCAACTATTTATAATGTTGCCAATGAGATGGCTGTATAGGTAGTACTTTTTCAAGTTGATCCATGTTATAAACATGTATGCCATTTCTTTCTTCTTTCTTTCTTTCTTTTTTTTTGGCGGGTACAAGGGTTGAACTCAGGTCCTTGAGCTTGTGAGGCAGGAGCCGGAACCACTGAGCTAAATCCCTGACCCTCTTCCTTTTTCCTCCAGTACTGCAAATCGAACTCAGGACCTTGCGCTTGCCAGGCAGTTGAGGCACCACTGAGCTGCACCAGCCCTTGCCATTTCTAATTTAAAACTAACATTATAATTTAAAAGGAAGCCTTTTTTTTTTTCCAGTACTGGGGATCAAACTTGCAAGGCAGGCCCCAGAACCACTGAGCTAAATCCCTAGCCCCTAAAAGGAATACATTTTTTAAGAAATAAAAATATTTACAGATGAAATGTCAGGGTATCAGTTGTCTCATGACACTCAGGGCAGATGGTGTAGCAGGCAAATGAAACTGTAGCTGAGTGCAACCAGGAGCTCACTACTACCAGTGGTACCTGACACAGAGCACTGGCCGGCCCACTCTGCCTCCCGGTTTGCCTGGGATTTCTCATGACCAGAGGATAAGAGTAAGGTATGAAACATAAAAAGGGAGGGCAGAGCTGGGTGTGGTGGGGAGATCACCAGGAGTTCAAGACTAGTCTGAACTACACAGTGACCCTGTCTCAAACAAAAAAACAACACACACACACACACACACACACACACACACACACAACAAGGGAGGGATGTATGAGAATATGACAATGAAAGAAGAGCAAAACTGATTATAGTGTATGGAACAGAGCCAGAAAATGTCAAGAAACTTGTCTATTTCAGTGGAAATAAACATGATAGGTACTTTGCTTTAAATCTACCTATCACGTCACCTAGACAAACAG